CTCACTGTTCCTGTGCCTAGCCAGCCGTTTCCACACCGTTTCCACTCTGTCCTGTGTGGCATGGGCCTAGCATCTCTGTCTTCCCACAAGGGAGGTCGGGGAGAACGAACTGTTATTCCATGTGAGACACCTAACCTCACCCTAGAACAGTGCCCAGCACATAGGAACTGCTCAGTCGATCGTGCACACACATATGCATGCATACACACACACACACACACACACACACACACACACACACACATACTCTTCTGAGAGGTCCCAGGTGTAGGGCAAGTGTAGGGCAAGATCAGTTGGGCTCTTACATTCTTGAGTATCCTTCGTGCTGCAGGGGAGTCCGGAGTGAAAAGGATTTTTCCCATCAGCAAAGGCTTTGCTGTCCTCCAGGCTATTTTGGTTAAAGGGTTTGACTCCAGGCTATGGATCAATGCATTACAGAAGGAAGCTGCCAGGAGAGAAGGCAAGGGCTTTACGGAAACTCCCCTCCTCATAGCTAAACACTCATTAGTGTGTCCACATCACATGTCTGATTCAACTCCATGCTGGAGGGTTTGACGAATAACCTAAATTAACAGGCTGTGCCCACCAATAACAAGCTCACATTAGTAACAAAATGCCACGGTGCCTCTCGATAATGGCCTCATCAGGGAAACAAAGACTAGGGCTTGCCCTGTGGTTTATTCCACTTTGGGAGAAGGAGAAGCCTGCTTGGGATTATTGCTAGGAACAGAGGCCATTCTTAGATGAAAGGGACCGAGAGGCCAAACAAAGCCCCCTTGGAATCTCAGCTTGAGCCCCAATCACTTCCCTTCAATTAGCTGCTTTGCTTCTTTGTTGTGTGTGGCTGCTACCTTGGGGCCCAACTACTTCTGCCATGTCCTTTGCTGCCTCTTTTCAGTTTTTAACTAGAGGGTCACTCAGTTGCATTTCTTCTCCACTTCTCCCTCCTCTACTCCACAGGTGCCAGATAAATTTTTAAAAAGCGAAAGGTAAGTAACCTTGCCAGGGACATGCCATTTGGAACATAATTCAGTTCGACACACACAGATTTTCATTGCACTGTGTTTGCAAAAACGTACTGCAGCCATGTTTACTTGCCAGGGCCCTTCTGACCTGCGCTTTGCTTGCAGCTCTCTGAGCTGCTTCCTCATGCATCATTCCCTTCCTCTGGAACTTAACCCTAGTTCAAGTACATCAGTGGGAAATGTCCCCTTGTTCCCTTTCCAAGTGGGCCTCGGTTCTTTCCCAGGCTCACAGCCAGAATTCTCTCTGCAGCTGCCCCCTTTCTACCAGGGAAAGTGGACTTTCTGGGAGAAGCCTTTTTGCCAAAGGCCACTCAACAAGACAAGGCAGAGTTGACGCTTGGATGTGTTAAACCATCAGCTTAACTAGTATCAGGGCCGGTGTGCAAGCAAGGCTCAGAAACTCACTTGTCCTCTTGTCATAAGAATAGATGGGATCCTTCCTTGTGGAGTCAATCCCCAGGAAGGCCTTGTAGTTATTGTCTTCATACCAGTTGAAGGAGAACACCCGAGAGCCGCCACCTTCTGGGTAGCCACACAGGAGGTCCGACAGGACGCCCATCAGCTGTGTGAAGGTCCCTGGCCCGCCACTCTGCATGAGGGGTCTGCTCACCCAGAGTAAGTCTTGAACGCTCGGTCGGCGGATAAACTAGGGCAAGGCAAAGGCTTCGGATTATTTCAAGGCAGCCAGAATCACACCTCCCAGGAAGCCCAAGTTCCAGTGTTTGGGGAGGCTTCCACATCCATGTCAGACTTCCACATTTTTAAAAGAAAACACCCAGGTTCTCAGCCATCCTTAATCCAGCTGTGAAAAACCAAAACCTAACACCATTTACTCAGGGACCAGGAGAGAGCTAGGAGGAGCTTTAAAGAAGATCAAAGGGTATACCCCAAAGCGTTTCATTCTTTCAGTCCCTTTATTTGAATTCTTAGGGAATGTGTCCTTAGGCAAACTCAGAGAATCTTTTCCTGTCAGTCAGCTGTTGGGTTCTGTTATCCCCCCAGGCAGGAATATTGGGTAACAAAACGATGGAGAAACGGCTCTGTTCTAGAAAGGCTGGGTCAGAGCCTTTGGTTAAATCGTTTAGAAATTAGTTTCTTATATTTGGAAGATTAGCTTTTTATTAATTCAATTTTACCAAATATGAACTCTTCCACTTCCCTGAAATGTGTGGTTTGTGGTTTTCGTGTGTGTGTGTGTGTGTGTGTGTGTGTGTGTGTGTGTTTTAAAATTCCAGAAAATACAGAACAGATGAAGTCTCTGTTCTTGGAAAAGCACTTTTAAACTTCTGTGCCAGCTGAGAGGAGGTTGCAGCTCCCTCCTCCCCATAAGGTGCTGATAGTGCTTGCTGGCCTCATCCTTGAAGGCAGATGTGGAATGCCAAGACTCAGTGAGGGCTGCTGGCTTGCCAGTGTTTTGGCTCCTGTAATGCCATCTGGTTTTGCCTAATGGGAAAATACAAAACGAAAATAATGCCGCTTTTATTCCTAAAGCATACCTTATACACTCAGGAATCTATAAAACCATTAGGACTCACAGGAGACTGAAAACAGTTTACCAACGGCAGTCAGCGATGTTTACCTGTCATCCCTCTCTGTCCACATGCCAACACTTGCCCTCTGAAACTGATGAGTGCCGGGCAGAATCCACACAATGAGTCATGCCCATAATCACAGTCTGTGCTTCAATAAAGTCAGAGTCTCAAATTGCTTCAACAACAGTGAGTCTTGAGACAATCTCATAAGGGCTTATTATCATCATTACGTTGCTCATTTAGTCAAAACACTCGGAGATGAAGGGGCTAACCTCGGGTCAGATGGTCTAAATTAGTTAATATAAACGGGACTATCTGCTTCAACCCAGTCCACGAAGGATCAGACTTGTTATCTAGGCAGGCAAGAAAACTTCTGGAACTCCTACACAGAACTGAGGGTGCTGCTATGCTTTGGGGATTTTTTTTTTTAATATTCTCTATCCACTTTGACCCTATTATGCTGATATGAGTTTTTAAAATGCCACGAAGAAAAGAATGTTTAACAGAAACTCCCTACAGTGGAGTCTGGGTTTTCCTGTACAGTTATGTGTGTGCTCTGCGCAGGCTGTGCTTGGCTCTATAAAGACAGATTCCAACTGTGCAGTTTTCCAGGTTGGTTGAGCCCAATTCAGCTGGGGATAATGAAGGGGAAAGTCTGGGGAAACTGTTTCACCATTTGCCTCCCTTCCATAAGACTCGTCGCTCTCAAGGAGGACTGGTGTTTTCCTACCTCTCTTTTCCATAGGGCAGTGACCACATCTACCTGTTCACCATTGTATCCCCAGCTCCTCTCTCTAGTGAGTGGAAGAGTCAACATCTATTGATTCCTGTGCAACCAGATGTTAAGGAAAACATGCACATCTTTTATAAAACAGCACAAAAAGCCAAGTGTTTTCTTTAGGATGAAAGGCGTCGGTGCAGTGTAGGTAACACACTTGGAATAGGGCCTGTAAGCACTCTAAAGATGTAGGTTATCATCATTGATGGATATGTGCATGTGGATTTTAAGCCTCTAACCAGTGAAGGATGTCTCAGTACTGTAAAGACTTGGGTGCAACTGCGAGTCCTCTGATGCTTTGTGCTGCATGAGGAAGTGGCTTATTCCCAGTGGCATTTCTCCCTGGGTTGGCATCAGCAAGATGGTTCCTTTCTTTTTGCCTCTTACACAAGAGGAACACAGATAATTTAGGACATGAACAGGTGCTTTGAAATTGCTAGATGGAAAGATCAAACGTATTTTTCCTTGAACAGGTTTGAGGTACAATTAAATTATTTGACATAAGTGTAGTAAATGGTGGAAAGACATAATGAAATTATAATTACTACCATCAGGCCACTCACCTCTTGAATTCTTGGCGACATATCAGATAAGATTCCTCCCCAGGATCTAAGATTGATACCTTGAGAACGGCTGTCTAGGAGTGTAGGAAGCTGTAATTGACAGGAAAAAATATTTTATATATATATATATTTGTTTGTAGTTATACATACACACAGGTACTATCTGATCTCCTATATGCTTGAAAACATTCCCCTCTTCCTTCTGATCGCAGAATTTTTTCTACAAGATTGTTTTTAGAAATGAAATCATTTCATTTAATTGAAAAAATTAAAGGTTCCCCTTCCACATTGTCCTGATGAACCTGTCAATCACAAATAGCTCCATGGTCACATTAGATATGCCAAAGGGAATCGGATTGCTGGTTTGGCAACATCAAACAAGACGCCTGGAGGAAGGAAGGCAGAGCGCAGGCAGGTGTGGGGGAGGGCTGCCCACTGTTCACCGCAGAGCCTGGTAGACCTCCCCAAGCTTCCTCATCAATGATCACATCTGTTCCCTCTGTGTCATTTGCAGACAGTGTGTGTCTCTTTCTCTGCACAGCCCTATTCCTTCAAGGAAGATTGCGCTGCTGCTGGGAGGAGTCAGGTAGCTTTGTTCAGGGGACCCAGCCTGTGAGATTCAATGGCTAGTGCCCTACTAACCCGGCAGGGGTCCGGAAGCCCACAAGTTCACTGCCTCCAAGCCCCAGAGCTGGCTGTGAACATCTGGCTTTCTGGAAACTAAGTTCAAGTCCTGCTTGACTTCATTCTCGTTTCAAAACTGATGGACTCCTGTGGGAGTCTTTTACGACCGAGTTCTAAGTTTCAAGACCATGGTTTTCAAACTCAAGTGTGTGTGCACCCCGAGTAGGTGCGGGTGCACCCCGAGTAGGTGCGGGTGCATCCTGGCGTTAACCGACTGGACTTGTCATCCCCATTCACGTATCTGTGGACGACCAGCCTCGGCTGTTAGTTGCCAGGGTGGCTCCCCTAAAGGGGGTCGGGCAGGTCCAGCTTGCAGGAAAGCAGACAGGCAGGTGGACTAGGCCTTGGCCAGCCACGCTTTCACTTCCACTGCGTGTGGATGCCTCCTTCCCCTGCTGTGGGGACAGATGCTTTTCTGCCCCGGAAACTGTGGAATAAAGTCAGCCTCACTCAGGGCACATTAGCACTGCAGGCTGATTTTCTAATTATGAATTGAAAGGCTCCGCTGTGTCTGAGAGATACAAAGCAGAGGGAAGAGAATTCCAGAGGGAAGGGCAGGATCTCTGCCTGAGTATGGAGCCTAGGCATGGGCCCATGGGACTTCCCTTCTGCTCCCTGTGTGCTGGCACAGCACTTCATTCCTGTCCCCCCCCCCCCCCGAAGGTGGGGCTGAGAGGCGTGGGCAGGAAGGGGGGAGCAAGCATCAAATCCTCCCTCCCAGCTCTCTTCTGGAGGTCCTTAGAGATGGAAAGACCTGAGAGACATCAGCAAAATGCCACCTGTGCTTCTGAGTCTGATCTGAACAAACCAGCCATAAAATCGGGAGAAAGTGGACTCAGACTGGGTGTTAGATTACACTCAAGAACTGTAATAAATGTAGCTGGGTGTGATCAACATTGTGATGTTGTTAAAACAAGTAAGTTTGATACTTGTCACCTAATATACACAGTTGGCTCATTTGTTATGTTTATTTTCTGTCTCTCTCTAAGAGAACGTAACAGAATTTTATCTGCTTAGTATTCTGAGGTATCTCCCAGTGCCCAGTACAGAGTACGTACTCAATAAATATTTGTAGCAGGGGAGAGGCAAGATGGCGACGGAAGCCGTAGGAGTGTGGAAGTCTGTGCAAAGGCGTGTGAGTGCCCATAAAGACAGTCTGTGTGAGTGGATGAGTGCCACTGGGGGGGTGAAAGTCCGTCCAAGGGAGTCGGTCCCGAGGCTCCCCTCCGGAGGCGGCTGCAACCCACCCCTGCCTTGAGAGCGGAGGCCTGGCGTGCAGAATTGCCAGCCATTCTTGGGGGTCTTTCGGGAGGAGGCGGCGGAGGTCAGATGCTCTCAGCACCTGGCACCTGGCCCACGAGGCAGTGGGCCGGGCACTGGCAGAGAGAACCGAGGGGAGGGCGTGGGGAGGAGATCTGGGGCTGGGCCCCACCGCCGGCGAGGAGACGCCGACCACTGCCACCTTCTCTGTCCCTGGCTGGGCAGAGACCTGCATGGGTGCCCTCAGCTCTGTTCAGCCTCCAACCTGGGACCCAGAGGCGATCGCCGCACCCCCTGGGATCGACCCTTGCTGATCCCGAGAGGAAACTTCAGGAGTGGACACGGAGGGATGGATGCCCCATCCCCACACCGGACTGGGTGCAGACACGGCCGGACCTGTGTGGGGGACTTGGCGGCGGCAGCAGCAGCGGTGGACGAGCTGGGTGAGGCGGGATCCGATTCACCTCCTCCCGCAGCAGTCCGAGGGCCGGGAGCCACCCGATCCACCCGCCCCGAGCACGGAGGCGGGACTGGAGAACGGAGCCCGCTCCCCACCCAAGCGGTGGCCAAAGGCGGCCGTGGGGCTTGGGAAAGGAACCTGAAGCTCCAAAAACGGCCACAGAGGGAGGTCTTTTTTCTTTCTTTCTTTTTTTCCTGTTTTTGTTTGTTTTAGTACTTGTTTTGTTTGGGTTTTTTTGTTGTTGTTGTTGTTGTTTTGTTTTTCTGTTTGCATATAGGTTTTGTTTTTTTTTTTTGAGTTGGAGTCTCACTCTGTCACCCAGACGGGAGGGCAGTGGCCGCTCCCGGCCACCGCAGCCTCGACCTGCTGGGCTCCGGCGATCCTTCTGCCTCAGCCTTCCGAGTAGCCGGAACTACAGGCCGCGCGCTACTGTGCCAGGCTAATTTTTTGATTTATTGTAGAGATGAGGTCTCGCCAAGTTGCCCAGGCGGGTCTTGAACCCGCGGGCTCAGGCAATCCACTCACCTCAGCCTCCCAAAGCATGGAATTACAGGCTGAGCCACCGAGCCCAGCTGCATATAGGTATTTGCGAGGGCCAGTGCATCATCAGCTTTTTTTGCTGTTGTTTATTGGCGTGTTTGTTTGTATGTTTTTGTTTTTTGGTTTGTTTTTGTTTGTTTCTTTGTTTATTCATTAGTTGGTGTGCCTATCTGTTTTTCTTCTCCTTTTCCTCTGTCTTCATCTTCCTTTAGTCTCCTTTCTTCCTTTTTCTGTTCTGCTCCTTTTACTTGTGTCATTTTGCTCTCAGGGGGGCATATATACGCCCCCACCACATGGACAGATTATAAAGTGGTGGGAAGTAGGTTCCAGGGGACCGACATACCTGTCAGTGGATGCTGTGATCTGCAGACAGCTTTTGAACCACAGCTGTCCCACCATACCTTAATCAGATCTCAAAACTACCAAAAGCAAAACACCCATACCCAGTCAAGCTTCAGAAATGAACAAATCAAGAGGATCTAGATAAGGAAGAACAGGGGATTGAGCAAGGAGAAGTGAAAGTTATCCCCCATCACTGAGCAACAAAATTAAAGGAGGAGGGGAAAGGGGAAGGAAAACCATCACAAATGATGAAGAATATAACAAGAATACAGGTCTCACACAGACTCCTGGGAAGACAGCATCTGAGAACACAGACTTTGGAACTCAAACAATGAAGAGCCTCCAGAATGACTGGTTTCAAGCCACAAACCCAGAGGTCAAGATATTAATAGAGAATGAACAGAGATGAGGAGAGATGAGAAGAAAGAATGAAGGAGTTGATAACTGAGATGATGGCAATGAAGAATGCAGTAAATGAAATAAATAACAAACTGACAAGCATGGAAAGCAGAATAACCAAGCAAAAGATAGAATCTCAGAGTTTGAGGGCCAAAATATGGAACTAACCCAAACTGTTGAAAACATAGAAAAGAAGCTTTAAAAAATGGAACAAAATCTCCAAGAGATGTGTGATTATTTCAAGAGGCCAACCTAAGATTAATTGGCATTCCTCAGGTAGACAGAGAACAGAGACCACCCTGGAATACACATTCCATGAAATTATCCAAAACCTTCTCTCATCTCATCAGAGATATGACCATTCAAACACAGAGATTCAGAGAATCCCTGGAAGACATCAAATGAGAAGACCAACTCCTAGACTCATAGAAATCCATTTACACAAAGTAGGTATAAAATAAAAAATCCTAAGGGCAGCAAGAGAGAAAGGTCAGACTACCTTCAGGGCAAGACCAATTAGAATAGCAGCAGATTTATCTACAGAAACACCACAGACTAGAAAAGACTGGAGTCCAATCTTCAAAGTTCTCAAAGATAAACAATTCCAACCAGTAATTTTTTACCCAGATAAGCTAAGCTTCATTAGCAATGGAGAATCAAAATCTTTCCCAGACATTCAATCCCTAAAAGTTTATACTGCTTCCAGACCAGCTCTACAAGAAACACTTAAGAAAATATCAAACACAGAAAACAGAAAAAAAGAACGACCACACTCTTCCCAAGAATACAGGAAAAAGACTGAAAACACATATATCGATCCAAGTATCAAAAGAAGACCAACAAACAAATAAACAAAAAACAACAACAACAAACCCTATAAGAATCTCATGACAGGAATAAACCTTCACATCTCAATAATTAGTCTGAATGTGAATGGACTGAATGCATCACTGAAAAGATATAGAATGGCTAACTGGATAAAAAGAAATAATGCAACAATATGCCGTCTTCAGGAGACTCATCTCACCAGAATGGACACACAAATACTCAAAGTAAGAGGATGGAAAACAATTGATCAGGTGAACAGAACACAAAAGAAAGCAGGAGTTGCAATCTTAATATCAGAAAAAATATTCTTTAAGTTATCAAAAATTTAAAAAGATATGGAAGGCCACTACATAATGATGAAAATTCAATCCATCAACAAGAAATATCCATCCAAAACATATATGCACCCAACATAGGAGCACCAACTTTTATAAAGAAGCTTATAGGAAAACTAAAAAAAGACATTGACTCAAACACTTACCATAGCTGGGGACTTAAATACCCCACTGACAACCCTAGATAGGAACCTCAAGTTGATGCTTGATCAAACGGACTTAATAGATACTTACAGAACACT